CAAGCATGTGTACGCTAAGCTGCCATTTTCTCAATTCATCTCCATCAAACATTTTGAGATCTTCAATGAAGAATTTCTTTCACAGTTTTGTTCACATTCTTTCTTAGAATTTTTCTAGCTCAAGTACAAAAGCAGAAACAGAGGAAAGATATCCCTGGGCAAAATGACCCAATTTTTAGAGAGTCATCTTTATGAATGACCTGTAGTTCACAGAGCTCAGACAGCCATCAGGCTAACATTCCAAATTCATAGATGAATAACAATTTGTTCTTATTAAGGTAAGAGAAAGTAAGATTTTCAGAATTCTGGGGTGGGCAATCAGAGACAAAAGTTGTGTATCAATAATCTTTTTTCTCATAGAGAGTCTAGAACTGAAGTTTGCCACTGTAAAATAACTGTAAATAAGACCCAAAAAAGGGTGTACAACATGTACCTCTATGAATGCAAATGTTATAATATATTTCCAAACACTGGTAAAAAAAAAAGTGGTAATAAAATAACTTCTTTAGAATCTATGAGAGGATGAAAATGAAAACAATTGTAAAATCATGATTTTGATACTGTTTGGTCATCATAATAAGATCAACAACCTTATAAATAAAGAATTCTGAAAAAGAATGGAAAATTGAAGAGCCTCGTGGATACAAATAGTCGCAAGAAACCCATTTCAACCATTCTATAAGTCCCTTCCACCGCAGTCCAATTCCCATAGCATGAGTAAAACTACAATTATATCGACCCAAAATGGGGATGTGGTAATTTGATCCAGAGATTTTCTAGAAAATATCAATTACACCATTAAAACCATAACTTTTGAAAGGCGCAGTACTAGCATTCTTATTGAGTCATCACATTGCAATCATATGAAACTGATCAGATATGTGAGCTTCCAGGAAGGACCCACCCATCAAGGAATGCTCAAATAAGGTCAATGGCTTTCTTACAGGTTTCATTTTGAAAGGGAAATCTTGTATCTTCTAGAAGATTGTTTTCTGGAAGATATTAATCTGGAAGATATTCTGCACGCAGTGAATTCCTGCATCATATCGTCCTTGTTTTCACGAAGTGACGGTAGTGAAGAAAATCGTCACACAAAGTGAATGCAACTTTTTTTCACTACCGTCACTTCGTGAAAACAGCGACGATATGCATGATAGAATCTTCATGACAGTGACAGCCCTATATTCTGATCCCCGATGTCATTTTGAAAGGGAAATCTTGTATCTTTCAGAAGATTGTTTTCTGGAAGATATTTTTCTGGAAGATATTCTGAATGCGGCGAATTCCTGCAGCGAATTCCTGCAGCATCTGCATGTTAAAATCTTCATGACAGTGACAGCCCTATCTGCTGATCCCCTATGCCATGACACAGTGTACAATTACAGTGAAACCTGTGTATAAAGATCACTCAAGGGACGCAAGAAAAGGTTACATACAGGTTCCTTTATTACACGTTCCAAGTACCAAGGAGGCGAGTTGGTTCAGTTGGTAAAGTGTCTGCGTGTCGTACTCATACCAATTAACACAAATCGTGGCTTTGAATCCAACTCGGGCGGATGACTGAATTAAGCCTGAGTTATGTGTTAAAAAACACTCCATTCCTCGGATAAGACGTTAAAATGGAGACCCCTTTGCACTATTCGTATAAGAGTATGGGGGAACCCCTGTATAGGGGTCCACCTTCACATCCCCAACCAGTTATACCCAAAGGAGAGACCAAGAGGGCTACAGTGATTCAGTTCCCTTTCCCCCCACCAGGCACAGTTGATGCCAAATAATTAAAAAAACAAATAATAATAGAAACTTTATTCAAGGGAAAGAGCAAGTATGGTCTCTACCGACAGGTGGTCTTTTTATACAGGTGGTTGCTTCAATAAGTTTCACTGTATTTTATTTAGACTGATGAGTCAAATACTTTTCAAATATTTGTACCATTAAATTAAAAGTACCATCATTGCCAAGGGATGAGAGCAAAGCTTTGTTATATCTGAATCAAATGGGGGTATTTCTGTCCACAGTTCATACATCAAACAAATCAGACATTTTTTACCTTCACATTCACTTCAAAATTTCAAAACTTGTTATACATTCTCATCTCCATAAGGTAGCTGGGGCATATAATTCTTCAATAATATTTCCTCCAAAATTGTCATCAAATTTTCCTTATCTATGATATGCACTTCTTCATAGAAAAATTATTACATACCAACACCAACAGCAGTACAAAAAAAATGACACAACCTGCTTATTATCTAGTCTCTCTTCTAAATAATTGCAGAATATTAATTCAAAGACTGCATTATTTAGCGTTGTGGTTAATTCAACCGTACCATCCATAGGACAATGATCTGTCAAACATTCTAAAGGAAAACCCATAATACTTGATAGAAACCAGAAACCACAAGGATCTGAGCCCGCTGTACAGATGAACTGCAGTGTGAATTATGAAATTAATTCATCACTGTGCGGTAGACCATGTACACTTTCCTGGTAATGAGGCAATTTAAAAGGAAAAGGATTGAAAAAGTTTGGCTTCTATCATGCCTTCACAGAACTGTCCAGTGTGGGATAAAATACTACAAAACTATGTAATATGTATGTAAATCATCAAATTAAATCAACTAAATGGCGTTCAGTATCTTTCACCGCCTAGCTTTCCAGGTAATGAAGCAATATAAACAGAAATGGGATTCAAAGAGAATTAGTGTTTAAAAATTTAAGCTTCTTCTGTCATGCCATCACAAATCTATTGTACCTATATATAATACTACACTGTACAGTATTACAAAACTTAGTAACTTACAAATGTAAATCATGGTATCAAATCATCAATGTGGAATTTTGTTAAAGGTACTATGTCCCATTTGCAGGCTAAAAAAATGAAAAGGTTAAATTCCAACGGCATTTGAAAGATAATACTAATTTAGAACTTTCCTAAAAAAGGTGGGGCTTGAAAATGTCTTCAAGTGGGAAAATAACGACTATTAGTTGTTAAATGGACTTAGGAGCTATAGAGCCAATAAGTAATAGTCTTGATTTTCAGACCATTGTACCGAATGGTCATACCTTTTAATCAGTTTAATTTTGGCCATCACAAGAAGTGGGTTATTGATGTAGACAAATGCTCATGTACCCTATACAGCTCATTTTATGTATGTACATACCAAAGAAGAAAAAAAGCCAGTCACTCACTCAATAGTGTCTGACAGTGAAGTCTAGCAAGTAAACAGGTTTCCTTGCATAATTTGAATCCTAGGACACTGCTAACGTTTAAATTTCACAGATAGGACATACATGACATATTCATAATTCCTGCAAAGTTCTACAGAATTTGAGGTTGGCTGCAAAAGGGACATACGGTAGTACCTTTAATGGGACAATTTAGAAGAAAAAGAAAAATAGATGGACCTTTTCAAGGATAAAAGTAAAATAGTCGGGCTTGTTCTTTCATGCCATCACAAAACTAGGAAGTAAAAGTTATTTTAAAGGCATAAAATGTTGATTACCGGTAAAATCATTCATATTTTCTTTATCGAGGAGATTTCATGTATTTGATGTGGAATTTATGAAAAGTCTAAAATACTTGAATTTTTGCTTTTGAATATATTCTTTTTTAAGGCTACAAATGGCTCTTCATAATGTTTAAGTACAACTTAAGAGTTAAGTTTGACTTAGGATCTTTATGAAATACCCCCTGATGACATAACTGTGTGAGTCCATAAGAAAGACTAGAACTTATAATTGAATGAAAACTTGTCATCAGACAGACATGAAGGAAGTCTATATACTTGTACTCCGTATGACAAGGATAAAGAAGGAGGTCACATACTCGAAAAGGTCACACACTCCACGAGTCTGGGGATAATAAGACTACATGTAAAGCTTTAATGTGGACATGGGCTTCATGTGGGGGAAGAAAGGAAGCCAAAAATCAATGAGAACACAGCCAACACTGGCAAGTGAACAGAATACAAACACCCGAGTGCGCAGGCAAACCCTTGGGCGCATAGTAATTTGATAACTTGCAATTTTTGTGAAATTATTCAAAGCCTGGCTGCTATAGCGGCGCTCTAGAGGGATAGTAGAGACCTACTTGTTGCATTTGTAGGCCACTCGAAACGTGTTACAGGTAAACTACTGGTAAATTAGACCTCAGTCGATGTATTTTTTACATTTTCTATTTTCCAGGGGTTGTAATGGTGATTACATGAAGAAGATAAAGAAAGGAAGATTGGCAAAAGTATTTGTGACTAGCCCAATAAAATCATCATTTGGGAAAGTGCTGTATTTACAGCAGCTGCACTGAAATATAAATGTGAACATTTTTTCTTTTTTTGTAGCACTTTTGAGCATACCCTTCCATTTTCTTAAAATAAGTGTCTGTACAAGAATCATGCCTTTTTATGTATCACCCTATACTAGTATCTATGTATTAGACCCGCTTTTGTTTTGTGGTGTAACTTTAATTGAGATTGTAGGTCTCTATTCTGCTGTCTAACCAAGCAATAAACCTAATTGCCCTGAAATATTTGTTGTCATTAAAGTCATAAAAATCACCCTACATTAGTATATCAGTCGTAAATTGACACTACATCATTATAGTAACGCTGTTCTCTGGTGTAACCTTTTGTTGAAATCATATATTCTGTACTCTCTAAAAAAAAATCGAGTGATCACGGACGTCACTCCTCTGGAGAGTAAAAATGTAGTGAAAATAGAGTGAACATTCACTCTTTTCTTCTTAGAGAGCACTCTAAAATCAATAGATTTTCACTCCTAAACAAGTGATCACGGACGTCACTCCCAAGAAAGTGAAAATAGAGTGAAAATTCACTCTATTTTTTAAGAGAGTAGCTAGCTGGGATCACTCATAAACCCATCGCCCCACAATGTATTGAGACATCATACATTTATGTATCACCCTATACTACAGTGACACTGTTCATCCATGAAATATGTCAAGGTATTTTTTCATGTCACACCCTATACTATTATCTTACCTCTGTTCTCTGTTGTAACCTTTTGTTGAGATCATATATTCTGTAGTCGGGCTGACTGATGAATGGCGTGTGCCTCCTGTATGGAGAGAATGAGTGAGAAGAGATTCAGTACTCAGCGAGATTAATAAATTGTTAGCTGGGAGAAGAGAATACTACACTGTAGCTGTGTTAGACATATGATGAGCAAATAACGCTATGAGGATCTAATGGTAGAAGACAATCAGCATGTAATCAAGAATTCATTTATAATTCATGATGTATATCACTGTCATAAATTATGATGAGTGTGATCAATCACTATAGGTGAGGTATATCCTGATGTAAACTATTCATCATTGTACCACTACCAATGTGATAATGATCCTTCTACTCCTCCCCCTCATCATCATCATCATCATCCTCTTCATCCTTATAACCATGAATGTCACCGCTAGTTCCATCATCTTCATCATCTTAATTCTCAGTTCCTCATCGATCACCATCATCTAATTTAACACTAAATATTTATAAAATATCTTAACAGAAAAGAAACCAATATCTTTATCAAGAGATTCTTTATGTCTTCTTGCTTATCAGTATTTGAATGAAGGAAATTAATGCCTCTAACCAATAACTAATAAGGACTATTTCTTTTTATCAATAACATCATAAACTGTTCGGTCCTTATCAGTCACTGTGCTGCCATCATTATAAAACAGAAAAGGATAGTTGAATAAATTCAACGAATTCATTCAAATGTTTTGATTTTCATAAGAACAAGTTTACACTGACAGTCAAAAATGTCAACATCAAATTTCAAGATGCTTTTTAACATCACAGATTTGTAGACAGAAACACAAATGTGTGACAACGCCAATTGGGATATCTTTCACGGTTGCATTACAGGAATGCTCACCACACTGAACAAGCATAAAGGTATATCTCTCCCTCTATCCATAATACTGTACGTCTGCATAAATTTATGCGTAGAAGATGCGATGACCCCTACCTCGCTCTCGCACTGACTACAAGCTAGCCCCATGCTGGCTCTGCAGGCAGGCAGGCAAGCCGAGCTGGACGGACGTTACCCCCACCCACCTTACTTAAAGGTACTATATAGGTACTAACAGAAAATGGTGATAAAATTGACAATGTTATAGAATTGCGATGACATTATTCCTCTATTAAGTTACTTCAGGGGTTTTTTCATCACACCAAGTTTTGTATGGATATTAAATGTTGATATTATCCTTATAAACATTGATAATTTTTCAAATCTGCAAACAAATAATTTTCTCACAGTCAAAGACTAGTTGATTAAAGATTCAATTGCTTCCATGACCATCTAAACATGTTAAACAATATCTTTAAAGACAGGGTACCGAATGTGGCAAATTTACAGAAATGCTTGCTGAGTTAATGGATAATATGAAAATCCATGTAATTCACTATCCTAAGTAGTTGAATCATAATAAAGACAATTATGTATGAATTAAATGTTAAATATATTGTTGGACTCAATGTAAAGAAAAGGAGAGAAAAGTACATGTATGTAAAGTTCTTTATTATGTGGAATATTTCACCCATTTGCAACAGCTTTTCAAAACAAAGCCTTTATATACAAAAGATAAGTATCCAGCTCACATTAATCACTACATTTCTGATAAGTGTGGATAAAGTCTTGAACAACAGTCATATTAAAAGTCATCATTACTGTAAAACAATCACTATGTTCTATAAGATAAAAAGTTTCAATTGTTGTATAACGGTACCTTAGAATACAAAATAGCGACTGAAACAACACCATCCCTTTAAGATCTTACTGCTCTTACTGCTGCCCGTAACCCTGTTCATATTTACCAATGAGTCCACAGTATTACGGATTTGCATCCATAAATGTTTTTCTCTGCCCACCGTTCATATCAGGGGGACAATTCTGCAATGATACCGTAATATTGCAGTATATCCCTGTTAATATAGGTATCCAGAATAAGACAGTGTCCAGTTGGCATCCGCAAGTACCAAGTACCACCTTTCATTGTGGTTGCCCGGCATGCAATGAGGGCCGAATTAAGGCCCTTCTTCATCAGCTTGCGTTTGCCAAATAACCCCTTTTTTCAGACTCAGAATATTATCCCGAAGTCTTCACCAGACCGATACGCTCATTACAAACTAGGTCGGGAGGGTGTAAATTAGCCCGCTATTTCCCAAACAAGACTAAGATTTCTTGGGATATTTTCTCGGCCAAATATCCCGCTAACTGCAGGCTGATGAAGACGCAAATTAAATGGCTAATTTGCGATCGGGATAGTTAAAATAGTGGGTTATTTGGCAACCTCGAGCTGATGAAGGCAGGCCAATTGTGGTTGCCCAGTATGCAATGAGTCAGTGGTTGACCCACCGAGTAGACGCTATGCTTCACTGCATAAGTCGTAAATGTTACAGCTATTTTGCGGATACCATTCACATCTGTCGGGTAGCGATAATATTACCAAATTGTTACTAGGTCCTGAAACAGAAAGTAGTAACTGCAAAATAAGTGTTAAATTAATAGCAGAAAGCAAAATACCGCATTATTTGCTGGTTAGTGGTTACCCGTTCATATAGATCTGCCACTATCGGTAGCATTTCCATAAAATAGCTGCGGTTGTTATTTTAGGGAAAGGTAGTGAATATGAACGGGGCTTGTGATTAAAAATGCATTGGACTGCTGGATGACAGTCTTCCACCACCAATGGCTTACTGGTAAGTGTATCGAAATATGGAAAATATCCCATCTGACCAATATTAGTTTGCATTCATCCTACTGTACAGGTAAATGTTTTAAAACTGTCACTCAGGATATCATTATAAATATATTTCAGTTTTTCCAAACCAATCTGTCCTGCAGTGGCTTCGCAGGACAGTAAGCCCAGGTTCAGGAATAGTGTCGATTCCCAATTGATGAATCATGTGAGAAAGGACAATAGAATTAAGACATTACTGTTCTGGCAGATGGGTTTCTTATTTATGTTTGCTTTCTTTCTTAACTTGCTGCTTTTTTATTTGTTGGCTTTACACTGACTAATTTTCTCTCTCTCTCTCTCTCTCTCTTCTTTGTCTTGCTTTGTTTTTTACACTGACTAATTTTCTCTCTCTCTCTCTCTTCTTTGTCTTGCTTTGTTTTTTACACTGACTAATTTTCTCTCTCTCTCTCTTCTTTGTCTTGCTTTGTTTTTTACACTGACTAATTTTCTCTCTCTCTCTCTTCTTTGTCTTGCTTTGTTTTTTACACTGACTAATTTTCTCTCTCTCTCTCTTCTTTGTCTTGCTTTGTTTTTTACACTGACTAATTTTCTCTCTCTCTCTCTCTCCTTTGTCTTGCTTTGTTTTTTACACTGACTAATTTTCTCTCTCTCTCTCTTCTTTGTCTTGCTTTGTTTTTTACACTGACTAATTTTCTCTCTCTCTCTCTCTCTTCTTTGTCTTGCTTTGTTTTTTACACTGACTAATTTTCTCTCTCTCTCTCTTCTTTGTCTTGCTTTGTTTTTTACACTGACTAATTTTCTCTCTCTCTCTCTCTCTTCTTTGTCTTGCTTTGTTTTTTACACTGACTAATTTTCTCTCTCTCTCTCTTCTTTGTCTTGCTTTGTTTTTTACACTGACTAATTTTCTCTCTCTCTCTCTCTCTTCTTTGTCTTGCTTTGTTTTGTTTGTCTTCATCATTTATTTATGGTAATTGTATGATCTCCCAAAGCTGTTTTAATTTGTTTCTAATTTGAATTCCAAGTCCTTTCACTGTAGCAATGATCGTATTATATATAATTATTTATGGTAATTGTATATACTTATTTATTTACTTATTATTATGTACTTATATACTTATTATATTTTTTTTTTACTTATTAATGATTTAATTCATCCATGTGTTTTTTTACCTTGTTATATTTTTTGTTATGCATTTTATATTGTTAACTGACTTGTTTAGTCTTCGGACTTTTTAATCAGTACTTGAATAAAACCAAATATCTATCTATCTATCTATCAGAAAGGAGATTCAAAACTAGCTTACTGGTAATAGTTATTTGGCACTACTGGTAGCTACTTGCGCCCTCTATATAACAAAAAATGCCTAATCGGTGACCATTGGTCCCCCATGATCCTCTTTTTCTTATGTTAACTGAGAGCCGAGTTGATGAGATAACCACCTGTCCAGTGACCTTGCAGAGTGGTCTTATCCCTCCTGTAAACTACGGCAGATAAGCTTTAAGCAATGTATAAAACTCATTGTCCATTCTGAAATATTGTGAACCCGAGTACTCTATTAAAGTAGTTTCTTCAGAGCCAGAAAAGTGTTAACTCTGTGTCAGGGTATATGAATGTAACGCCTATATTGCTCCACACAGATGAAAAAAAATAAAAAGAAAGCAGCACAAATGTAACAATATCTCTTATTATTGATGCAAGTTCAGCTATTGTCTACAAATCCTGGCCGTTGCATTCATGTAATCAACGTAATCAACACCGTATAGGATCTATGACTTCTTTTTTGTTTTGTTTTTTTGGGAAAAAGAATTCACCAGACTATTTCTCTCCATCCTGGAGGGGGGGGGGGGGGGAGGTGTCCTCTTGCCTAGTTGTACTGCACAGCTTCATTACATTGAAAGGAATGGTTTCCAGCATTGGTACGACTAGCTCATTCCAGGCTCTGCATTTCCACATCTAATTGAACCCTCGGCTGCCTAACAGACTACAGGCCTTTGTATGTCAAGAAACTACACAATAACCATGGCGATTGTTGCTAAGGCAACCTGGTCGTTTTGCATGATAGGGTTGTTAGCTGGGCCAGGGCTGCTGTAGTTCGGTTCAAATTGGTGAGTGGCTGGCTCGGCAAAATAAGGTAAATTGAAGCTAGTGAGGAAAGCAAATTGTGAGAGAGTAGACTTTTTTTCAAATGTAAAATGTAAAAACCTTAAAAGGTACCGGTAAGTAATAGCTTGGGGCACAAAACGAGGAAGAAGAAACAATACACACACGTACACATAATGTAGGAATAAAGCAAAAATATACAGTGGAAGGAAGAAATTTGAAGGAAAAAGACCTCTGGTTGATGACAAT